CGCTCAGACAACGCGCTCAGATACACCGGCATAACCTTTCTCCGACAAGTAAACAAACACCACGTAAGCAGAGTAGATAGCTCCTTATCGAATACAACCTCTTGTATACCTCGCGATTGCTCCCCGGAGCGCAGCCCCTTACACTGCCTAGCTAGCTACGTTGATCGCTGCGATTAGCGTTACCTACTCGCGATTACCTAGCTTAACTATCTTTAGCTAGCCTCTCCTCTCTAATACTATAATAATAAGCTAAGTTATAATTTTACTTATTATAAAGCTAGCTTCGTCTAAGTTATAGACGTCCTTATTATAGATACTATACTTAGCCTTTATCTACTTTATAAGCTTAAACTAGCTCTTAATTAGGGCTAGATCTTTATATAGAGCTCTCTACTTATTATATAGTTAATTAAAACGTGTTATAAGACTATTTATACGCTTAATAAAGTTACGTAGCTAGTAGATACTAATCTAGCTAGCGCCGCGTATAGCTAGTAGCTTATTAGCTATATTACGTATAGCTACGTAGGTAGACGAAAATCTACGTAGATCTAGATTAAGTATATAGTTAACTATTACCTCCTCTTCTAGCTTAGTAAGCTTCTTTAAGTTAGGCTAGCAATCGCGTTAGGTAGGTCTACTAGCGCGTTAGTTAATTAGCGTTAATTTTAGAATATTAAAGGCTATAGCCGCGCGTTAAGTACTCTAAATTTAATTACTATCTAAAGAAGAGATAGTAAGCTAGATATCTGCCTTATAAGAAGCTAATTGAGAAGCGTGGCGCGGAGGCATTGTACGCAAAGGTGAAGTAGGTGATTAAAGTTGGTGGGGTGACCGACTCGCTTGTATGACCGACTCGCTTATAAACTACGTTACCGAATTAAGAAAACACGAATATAACCGGAAACACGATTCATGCAGCACCTTTGCAAAGTCTGGATTGCTGTAGGCACACGATTGTGCGCATACTCGAGACGGACACGTGACCGAGGTTTGGAAGAGAGGATACACGTTCCTGCGCTAGTGGGCGAGTGGCGGAAGGCAAAGTGGGTATCATCAGCCAACCATGGGGCGACATGGGCCCACCGCCTCAAGCGCCAAGGCCCAGGGTCCTCCATACTCCACAAACTAAACTTCCAGCTCAACCCCTCCGCTCCTCACCCTCAACCTGCAATTGTCGCTGGCAGCTGCAACCATGCGGTCCTCAGTCTCTACAGCTACCGTGCCCTCAAAGAGCCCTGCGTCTCATGGCTTTACTGTCAAGGCCGACGAGCAGCAAGAACCAAAATTCGAGAACGAACATGACCACTTCTTTTGGACATATACCGAGGAGCCGCATAGGACACGCCGAATGGCCATTATCAAGGCCCACCCAGAGGTACGGCTATCGGTGGATATCATCATTGAATCTCTTGACTGACCCGTGCATAGGTAACTAAGCTCTGTGGCCCTGAGCCGCTCACCAAATACGTTGTCCTGCTGGTCGTCTCGATACAAGTCGCCTGCGCATACCTCCTCCGCAACACGCCTGTGCTATCATGGCCCTTCTTCCTCACAGCATACGTCGTCGGTGCCACAGCCAACCAGAACCTCTTCCTTGCTATCCATGAGATATCGCACAACCTCGCCTTCCGATCGCCCCAGGCAAACCGACTCTTTGCCGTCTTTGCGAACCTGCCAATCGGCATCCCATACAGTGCCTCGTTCAGGCCCTACCATCTCACCCACCACAAATCACTGGGTGTCAATGGTCTCGATACCGATCTGCCAACCGCTTTCGAAGCCATCTTCCTCGACTCCGTTGCCGGAAAGGCTTTTTTCGCAACCTTTCAGATCCTTTTCTACGCCCTACGACCCATGTTCGTGTATAGCCTCCCAATGACCAAGATCCACCTCTTCAATGTTGTCGTGCAGTTGGCTTTTGACTACCTCTTGGTACAATATGCAAGTGGAAGGGCATTGGGCTACCTCATCATGAGCAGCTTCCTTGCTGGATCCCTACACCCTTGCGCAGGCCACTTCATTGCCGAGCACTACGTTTTCGAGAAGCCCAACAAGGATGCCGCCAACCCTGCCAACAAGATTCCGCTCCCCGAAACCTACTCATACTATGGGCCTCTTAACATGTTGACTTATAACGTTGGTCTTCACAACGAGCACCACGACTTCCCTGCCATCCCATGGACCCGCTTGCACGCTCTTAATAAGATTGCGCATGACTTTTACAAGGATCTACCCCAGCACAAGAGCTGGGTATACGTGCTTTGGCAGTTCATCTGGGACAAAGACATCAGCCTGTGGTGCAGAGTCAAGAGAGAAGAGGGCGGAAGAAAAGTTGGCGGTGGAGGTGGGTGGAGTGAAGAGGAGCTGGGTTCAAATGAGAAGAAGGGGCCTATCCCCGGTGTGTTGTAGAAATCTGTGCACCATTTGCATGACTGGCGTTTTAATCAGCTTGGTGTTTTAGATTACACGAAAATAGAAGTTAGTTTCGTTAATTCTTTTCCTCATAGAATTATTTTTCTAATAGGTGGGATAGCACGCATGATAGTGTATATTTTACTCCAGATATAATCACATAATCTTTTTCATTAAGGTAAGCGTTGGCGTAAGGATACAGAACTCTCAATGTCACATATTGCATAGTATAAACATACACGTTACAATTTGACTTGACATTTCCAAGCTACACTAAATCCGGAAATTTCTTTCGGCCCATCAATCTATCCCTCCCAAGAGAGGGCTGTTTCTGATTCTCGAATAGTGATAGACTAATGACAGGATCTGTGGTTTCACTGCCCATTGCTGCTGCTACTAGTGTTGTTATCAATATTCTCGCCGCGTGAAAAGGGGATAGTGGTACATGATTTTGTTGGGCTTCACTCCAACACTTCAGCTGACAAATGAGTCGTTGTCAGATAGCCAATGGGCGAAGATCGTACGTCCCAATAAACACACTTGGAGTGAACTGAAGGAAAGGTTGTCTAGTTCTATCTTCGGTGAGACAAATGTGGGCGGTGAGCTAATTTTGGTATTGTCCTGCTTCTTTTGTATTGATACATCAGGATAGTTCACGACACACTGCTAGAAACTCAAATCAAGACACTGACAAACTTCAACACCAACAACTCGCACGTATCGCCCTTTCCAGCTGCAATTGATTTGGCTCACTTTCCAATGCCATATCCTAAGGTCTCAGTCACTACCGTTTTGTTTTCACTTGGGCTGCGTCTGGTCTGGCCCGTGCTGGCCGTCCGTTTGCCTCTCACATGGACTGCGCGCTGCAGTCTTCAAACTCATCTTCACTATGAGAAAAAACCAATCCGTCTTCACCTCTCACTGCGGTGACTCAGGTTTGGCGGCAACTCCTCCACAGATATAATATCGCACTCCGCCTCCTATCCCACTTCCTTTCAACTACGCCGCCTGTCGAACCTCATCCGGACACCATCAGCAACCTCTCCCAGGATGACAACGGCTACCAACACTGACAGAGCTCCCAGATATAGATCTAATCTCCCATCACCGCCCACCGAGATTGTGACGCTTGCGTCACCTGCAACCCCCGTCCCCGTCACCGACTTTGAGGACATCTTCATGATGTCTCCCATCAACACCAAGGCAGAGACGGAGACTGACAACAACGCCGCTCCCATGCCAATGTCGTTCGAGATCCCTTTGGGACCTTTGTCCAGCTACGGCGGCGCTCTCAAGTCAGTCACTCACTCCACTCGCTTTCCAATTGAGATATCCGCTAACCATTATTTGTGTGTGTATCAAACAGGCCAGCTCCCAAGTACAAGAAGCCGGCTACCCAGCTGACCAAGCCCATGACTGAGCAGCCCGACTACGCGTACTTGTTCAAGGGCTATGACGCAGATGCTCTGGTCCTCAGGGACCAGCAAATCAACAGCCCTGGTCAGGCTGTTGATGGCAAGCAGCATCATGCTGAGCCCTCGGGTCAGTCTCCCATTTACGGGGAGACTGACTCAGATGACGGTGACCCGTTCATCTACGACCACATCCTCCTTCCCTCCTCCTCCTACCACAACACTCTCGTCGAGGCCGACCCCCCCTCTGACAACAATTCTTTCGAGTACGGAAGTACCTTTGCTTCCGACTACGACGACGACACCTTCGAGGTTCAAGACAACAACGACGACGATGTCGGCAGCGAGCCCGACTCCGAACCTCCCTCTTCCCCATCTTCAGAAGCCAGCAGGCCTCACTACGACGGTGAGGCCGATTCTGAAGACAACGATGACGATGATGATGATGAGTCTCACGACTCTAACGACGACGACGACGGCGATGACGAAGACGAAGAAGACGAGCAAAACAACAACGAATATTCCGACGACAACGAATCCGGAGACTCCTCCTCCCGCTGCAGCGTCCTCTCTTCGCACCCCTTACTCCAACCTCCCCCCATCTACGCCATGTTACCCTACTTGACATATCAATCGCCCCCCACCGCACCCACCATGATGCCTCCTGCGCCGCACAACACGCCGCTCGCTCTGCCGTCCACCGCGCCACCCATCATTCTACCCACCACTCTACCTACCATTCCGCTCAACATCCCGCTCACCATTCTACTCAACAACCCGCGCTTCTCCAATCTCGGAACCCTCGAGATCCTGGACCGCCATATTCGCGATATGATTTACGGGCTTGTGCTTGCTGACTATCTTTCCGCGCCGTCTGAAGAACTTAGTGGCGTTGATCCTCGCTCTGATGTCGCTGTTCGGAATAGTATTGCTGATCGCAATAATATGCTTCTTGTTTGCTGGACTATGCGTGGAGAAGTTTTGGATTTTTTGGCGCGGCCGTTTTCGAGTTCGGGTGATGAGTTGGATGATGAGTTGGATGATGACATGTGAAAAAGTTCTTTTATTGCCATGGAAAAGTCGATTTTACATTATTGAGATGGAGTTCATGGGGATTGTGTACGAGTATTGAGGTACTGGGGGCTTTTTTTTAAAAAAAAAACTGATACGGATGGATTGCGACTGGTTATGGCTGACATTTTGCCGAGATTATGGTCGGGATGTGGCATCGGCTTAGATGACCTGACTTGGTACTATGCTCTTTCAAGAAATACAACTGAAAATTTGGAAAAACGTGTGCTTTGATTGATCGTGATGGCTGTTGGCTAGTGTGGGATTGACAGTGGAGCGACTTCATACTTCATTACACATGTGTTTGTTGATTTGATGACATCACTCTCTGCAAGTCTAGTATGACAGTATCGCATTCCAATGCACAAATCATGTACGACTGGCCTACAGCATCTACCCCAGAAGACTCAACCGCTCGAAAGACTTCACGACAGGCGCCTCGCGCTTCTTTCCCACTTCCTGCAGACTATCCCACAACGTCGCATCGCCACCAGTTGGCTTCAGAACACCAACTTCAGCTTCAGCAGCAACGCCATTTTCAGCAGGTGTCGTGTCAGTCGCGGGTGGGTACATCTCCTTGACAGCGTCCTGGCACCTCTCCAAAACCTCACTGACAGCATTCGACACAGCGTCCGCACGCTCTCTCATACCGCGCCTGATGAGGCCCTCGATAAGACGCTGAATTTCGTCCTGCATGCTATTGATGCGCTCAATCAGGCGTTCGATAGAGTTTGTAAGATACTCTTCCTCGTACACGGTGCCCTTCTTGCCGCGAGCGCGCTTCCTCTCTTCACGTCGCTTATTCTTACTAGTCTTACGCGTAGTTGTTGTGTTGACTGTACCGGTTTGATTCGTGTACCTCGTCATGAATGTTCCGCCAGAAGTAGTGTCAGTCGGAGCGAGGGAAATATTGTCGGGAATGTTGGCGTCGGCACCACCGTCCATCATACCCTCGTAGAAAGCCATTGGGTCTTCTGCCTTCTTGGTCCTCAATTCCTTGAGCCGAGGCACCTGTGCTTGAAGTTGACCCTTCATATCAGCGAGGAACTCCGTCATGTCTGCACTACGCTCCACAAGACCTGGGTCGATGACTTCAGTAATGAGATTGGGTTCGCGGCGTAATATGACTATGCGGATGGCTTCAGCAAAGTAGCAGCCACGGCAGAACAATCGAGCTGCAGAGGAAAGATCCGACAGATAGTCTAATGTGATAGTTGCTGCGGAGAGGTAGTCCTTTGATTCCGATAAACCTTCTGCCAGGTCTGTTGCAATGGATGAGAGCTCTTCAGCACTGACTTCAGCCAGCACTGCGCTTGATAGCGCTTCGCGCCAAAGGTTAGCTGAGCGATAGCATGGCCATGCAGCCGAGTGGTCTCCCAGGTATTCATATGCTATCGCGGCTTCCCTGTTCTTGTTGTTCGCACTCAAGAAGTCTGCATACATGCGCATGATCTCTCGGAGACGGGCGTTGTCGTATTGGTACATACCCAATGCTTCCGAGTAAAGATCATGCTTTTGCACATATTCTCGCACCTCTTCAAACACTTGGAGGTCATTGAGATGCTTGAGTGCCTTTGTTCGGCGTGCAAGTTGATCATCGATTCTGAATTTTCGGCGCGTCTCGGGCAGATCTTGCAGAGATTGTAGATGTGGAAGATATTCTCGAGGATCCTGCCGTAGTTAGAAATATATCAAAACAAGAGGGAGAAAATGTGGCTACCTTTTGCGACTGCTGGGCAATGAGCAATGCAAGCTCGAGGTTATACAACCCTAATGATGTATCATAGAGCTGATTAACATCAGCAAGGAAACAGATGTGCTCAGCAGCTTTGTCAGTTAAAGGATCGTTCGATTCTGGATTGTGTTAGTCATCGCAAGAAAAAAAAGTGCATGACAATTACCTTGCAGACGTCCTATCATCTGGAGTCCTGTCTCAAGTGCTGGAGGCGTCTTGGAAACATGGGCTGTGATGATATTTTGCAGATGAGCATCCTTGTATTGTGGCTGTTCCAATACGGCAAGGAACGCATCACAAACTCGGTTGACCTTCCTCTCCACTTGTTCTTGTGATAGCCGCGACTTCATTGCAAGCTCCTTTGTTTTCAGAGTTTCCTTGTACATGGTTTCCGAGACATCCTCATTCCTGATAGTGTTAGTCATCATTGTCTTGTGAGATTATAGCTCTACATACCGAAGCTGAGCTAAGAGCAGGTCAATGTGCTCAACCTTTTTGATCTGTGTGATGATCTTCTCAAGACTTGCCAGAAAGCGCTCAGGGTCATGGTCGTGGAGGATGTTCAAGTCCACACGCTGGCTGCGGCATGCGAAGAATGCTTCGTCGTAACGTTCAGCTTCGATGTTCCGCCGTATCGCAGCAAGTACAAGCGCTCGGGGGTATATGGTCTCTAGATTTCCCCTAGGCATTTGGAGTATAACTGAATAGGTTGTGGGGATGACTGTAACGATCTTCGCGCCTCTCTCAATACTTCTGCATCTCTCGTCCTTTTGAGGCTCATCTGCAGGCACCTCGAGATCTGAAAAAGTCAATATAAAATCAAGGTTCATATGCAAATCTAATCCTACCATCTACGTTGGTGAGATGAACGAATTTTAGGAGATGTTGAGTCGTCGTGAAAATAAGATGCGCAGGCGTGACCACAAAAGATGTGCAATTGCGAGCCAATATTCGCTCATTGGCGAACAGGGCTCCGCTCTTGGTCAACCCGAAAGCCAATGTCTGAGAAATTTAGTCATTGGTATCATTCAATCATGGGTAATTTACGCACCTGTCCTTCAAACTTGACTACCTGAACCTCAGGTGCAAATGCAGGAAACTTATTCATAAGTGATGTCTGAGGAGGTAAGTCCGCCGTCGTTTCATCTGCATTGATCTCATGCAATGCACTGTTCTGAAGCAACATGTAGAGTGCCTCATGGTCTACGCTGGAGAACAAAGTAGAAGCGCCATCAGCTTCCATGATAGGTCCCTGGGGTAATAGTATCTCTCCTTCAGATCGCCAAAGGGAGCTTTCGTCTTCTTCCCAGCTATCCGTCAGTACAAATATTTGATCGTCACCAACAAATGTAACGTGGCGTGGACAGTGGCCAGAAATCGCATCGCTTTTCCAGAGAAATACAGGCTTCGGTACTGGCCGCTTATTGAGATCAAGTGCGTACACTGATACATCATGCTGCGAAAGCACAGCCAAATGAGTACCTGAGTTTGACAATGCAACATCGACGACTTTGGACTCGAGTACCAAACGGTGGAATGCCATTGGAGGAGGAACATTTGCAATGCGCAACGGGGTGAGATTCAGGGTCACTGATAGATGTCAACCATAAAGCTGTAGATATATGTGAACTGGATAACTTACACCCATCTATTGACGCGACCATGCCGAAATCATTTGGCGGTGCAACTGAGCCAGCTGAGATCGTGGACGCATACTCAAGTACCTCAAGAGCACCTATTATTATATCAGCTACTATCCAACAATTGACCAGGAAAAATCACTTACCTGGAGTTGAAAGGGCTACTGCTAAAGGACGTTCTGCATGCCAGTTACAAATGACCGTTTGTGTAGCAGCTTCTGGGAATGGTAGCTCTTGTTTGAGATAGTAGTGGTAATTGCTCATTGTCCATAGCTGAACTTTGTCCGTGTACGAAACCGCTAGAACGTTAGAGTCACTATTCCATGCAAGTGTTACAGGTTTTTCGATTGTTGTAAGCTCTTCGGGAGTAAACCGAAGATCGAACTGGCCATGACGAAGTCCGTTGCGCTCGAAAAAGACGACTTCGACCTTGTCGCTGGTACGTCGGGTACTAGCAATCAGGTTCCCTGATGGTCTCCAACTTAGAGCTCCTTCCAAGCCATCGACAGGCTCGCTCACACTGTCCAGCGTCCCCTCTCGGGAATACACCCGAATCATGCGACGTTTCTCCTCTTCAACTTTACTGACAGCAAACCAAGCACCATCTCCTCTCCAGCTGATAGTGACGGATCGATCGTCAAGCGGACTCAGTACGCCCTCATCGACGGTCTCTGGTACTGTTGGATCCTGGAGTGCTCTTGCTCGTTTGCCTTTGAACTGAGTCTCTTTCTTTCCCCATCCTACTGAGACATGATTGGATACGTTGACGTCTTCCGGGACCAAGTTGATGCTGGCTATGTTTTCGATTTCACGACTCATAAGCAGTAGCGTATCTGCCTGAGTGGTAATAGCGAGGAGTTCCTCATCTGGCGACCAAGCAGCGGCAGAGATGCCTGCGTCCACTGAACCCACAATCTCAACTAGCTCTTCATTCGATGACGGGTTTTCTCTAACCAGCACAATATCCCCGCCAGCTAAGATTAGACATGATGTCGAAGTGTCGGAAAAATGGTGTAGATTCAAGATTGCGTCATGGGTAAGCGAGGGCAATGGACAGGGCGCATCCCACGACGCAATGTTCTCAAGTTTTTCCTGACCAGTGGCGCGTGTGTGGTGTAGTCTTTTCAGTTCGATAGTCGCACGTGATTCCGAGGGGCCAAAAGCGCATATCAGTGCATTGGATGCAGCGTCCCAGGCAGTGGCCGTGAGCGGAAGTGGCTCCTCTCCAGCAAATCGCAGGAGTGATCTCCCCACAATCTTGAGATTGCGCATCGCTAGGGAATCATATGTTTGGTGAGTGTTGGTAGTTTGTGTTCTTTGACGGCTACAATATTGGAGCGCTATGAGTGGTCGCGAATTTTTGGTGATGCTAGCGCCGAGCTTCTACCGAATGATAATGCGTCACATCATCACAGTCAACCGCGGCGGTGTTGCGAGTGCAGAAGCCATTGAGCCAAACATTTTGCATTTTTGGTACAGGCCTTTTCAATGCAGATTCAACCAATCTCTGAAGAGCATTGCACACTGCAATGCGTCGCGCCCCTCAATCAGCCCGCCATTATCCGACGAGTTAGCACCACAAGCCTTCAGTTTATGTTACAAGCAGT